AAATAAATAAATAAATAAGGCCAGCAGAGATGAAAGTAAAGGAGAACTACTTTTAACAAAAGATTATGGCTACATATGTCAGAATATATTTAGAATAAAAATAAACAGATAAAATGGGCTACCTTCATTCCTAGATGCAGAAGCACTATGAAACTTTCCCCTCCATCCCTTGATTTTGGTGAAGTCATTGGTCTTCCCTGTCCTAGAAACAAAGGGAAATCCAGCATCTATAAAAGAAAAAGTATTGAGAGATGACTTAACACACTAGCATGACAATATGTTTTATCTAAGTAAGATTTTATCTGAAACTTATAAATCATTTATGTCAATAAATAGATCTAACCATGGGATATCCAAAATGTCTCTAAAAAGGTAATTTTTTAGTTATATCACAAATAACGTTAATTAAGAAAAATAGTGTTTCACTTTACAAATGATACACACTGACCAGGAGAGGCAGGGCTGGTTCCTGTAAGGTTCCAGAAAGGAAAACTAGTGGCTGGAGTCAAAGGTAGTTGTACTCCCAAGTATTTAAGATCAATGCTCACTGTTGGATCCACTGAATTCAACTTTAAACCCACTGCAAGAAAAAAGAACCACAAGTCATATTATCTAGCTTTTCTTTTTTCTACTTCTTTGTAAAAGAGATAATGGAGAGAAAAAAGACATAATCAGGAATCATTTAAGAGTAGGGTATCTGGAATCTAATGTAAAATGTTGGGGAAGAGGTAAAACAGATTTTATTTTGGGTGGCTCCGATGATTCCCACATTTCCTTCTATTACATATTTGAGCAATCTGTATCCCACTTTGATTGGGCAAAACCTGTCAATGGTTTCTAACCAATTAAATGTGGCAAAGGGATGGGATGTACATTATTAAGTATTTGTTAGCACATAAGAGTGTAGCACTTATGTGATATGTGTAGCATCTTATTAGAGCTTCAAAAGAATAAATTCTCCCAACAACCTGAGGAAAACTGGAACCACATTCTTCCCAGTCAAGCCTCTGATGAGAAAGTAGGCCTATCCAACATTTTAAGTGCAGCCAAATGAGACCCCTAACAAGAAAATATATGATTCAACTGGCTAATACATGCTTGGACTCCTGACCCACAGAAACTGTGAGTCAATAAACAAGTATTTTAAGTTGCTAAATTTGTAGTAATAGATAACTAATATATAAACAAAGCAGAATTGAGATCCTTTGTGCTTTATAGTCCAAAGGCTTTCTAAGGTCACTAACAAAGTTGCCATCTTCTGGCCTGTTTATAGCAACTAATTATCTAGCTTTTAGGAGTAATAAAGCACTAGACTGATCCTATAAATATAATGGATTCTTTATAGGCTAAGAGGCAATGTTTTAGGAAAGCATTTAACCTAAATTTTAACAAAATTAAAGACAAAGAAGTTCAAACTACTAACTAACATTATTGTTGTTGTTGGTAAGTACCAGTGAGTCACTTCTGACTCATAGCAAACCCTGTACAGAGGGTCTGTGGAGCGGCTGTTGAGTTTGAATGACCTTGTGGTTCAAACTCACCTTGAAGTCAAGTGCTTATCTTATGGTGCCACATCAAGACTCCCATTTTACAGTCATCCTAAGTCCTTGTGTTGGGAACCTCCTGGAAACAGGAGACACAATGAGAAAACCTTTCCCTATAGTCAGAATTCTGAATTTGGATTTCTAGCCTCCTAAGCTATGAAAGAATAGATTTCTGTTTGTTAAAGGGAAAAAAAGAAGTTATAGTACAGGTTTCCAATAAAGAGCTCAGTGTGCTGTTTCCCTAAAAGATGAAGATTAAGTATCCTCCCATATAACTTATTTGCATAAAAGATGGCTTCATTTGTTTTGGTTTACAATTTCAGTTCTTTTAAATATGTATTTTTGAATGGCATAGTTTTAAAACTAAAGTCAATAAAAAACAAAACACTATTTCTTCATGTTCCTAATGAACTCGGAGAAAATTAAAATTCTGAAACAGAAAACTCATCTCTAATCTTGTCATTAGTATTTCTTAATTTTGATTTGGGGAAATCTTTCCCTAGCTTTTAATCTTCTCTTCAGTAGAACAGTGAATACCAATCCAGTCCACTGGGTTGTGTGTTTAAATAATTTACTCATGTTTGTGAAATACTCTAATGCAAATGGCGATAGAGATAAGAGACAGTTCCCAGACCTTGAGAAGTTTTACCACACCATTTGCTGTTGAGTAGATTCCAACTCATGGCAACCCTATGCGTGTCAGAGTAAACTGTGCTTCATAGGACTTCTAATGGCTGTGATCCTTTGGAAGTAAATTGCCAAGCCTTTCTTCTCAGGCACCTCTAAGGTGGATTCAAATCGCCAACCTTTCAGTTAGTAACTAAGCACTTAATTGTTTATCCCACCCTGGGACTCCATTAAGAAGCCTAGTGTTATGTTTTCCCAAATCATTTAATAGTTACACAAGAATAAATAAGTGCAAGAGGTAAATAAAAAGGAACTACACCTGAAGAGCTCAATGGAATCTGTTCAAATTTTACTAAAGGTATGACTTTAAGTTGAATTAAGTAAGAATTAACTAACAAAGGGTATGAAGAATAGAACCAGTATGCAGGAAGTTACTATATAAACCCCAGTGAGAACTAAATTGTAAACAAAAGTTCAAATGAGATACAATAATATTCTGAGAACTGCCAGAGCCACTGACTACAGAAAAAGTAGAAAGAAAAGTTTTAAAAATATATATTTCCATAGAGATGAGTAGGCACAAAAAGTCTACACTCATGTTATTAGATTTTCAGACTGTTTACCCTAAATAATTTTTACCTCCATTTGCTATATATTTTATACTGACACCCAAAACATGGTACTAAGTCCCAAGAACAAAAGAAAACAAAGTTTATTTTAAATACAAATTTTTTCAAAAAGATAAAGCAAACCAACTTGGATGTTTTTATTTTTTAAATCGAAAGTAACAAGTGTAAACAAAGGTGGAGAATTGAAACCCTTGTGAATGGTACAGCAGTTCCTCAAAAAATTTAACATAGAATTATCATGTGACCCAGTAATTTCATCTCTGGGTATATATCCCCAAGTATTAAAAGGTGGGACTTAAACAGATACCGTGGCTCTGAGTTGGCACCATCTCAATGGCAGCAAGAACACACTATCCTTTAGTGTTTTTCTTGCAAGAAAATCCTTCCACAAGTAACAGATACACCAGACCTATAATTAAGCTGGTTTCATAGGAATGAGCACAAATAACTTGTGCTTGCAGAAAACAGAATAGCTGTTTAATTAAAGGCAGCATATCTTGAAAACTCTGAAATGTTTCCGTATATTGAGTTTAAACTACATTGTTGTTGCTTTTGCCTCACTTCACCATAGAAGCTACTTCTTAAAGTAGTATTAACAAATGACTACAAAAAAAATAAATAAATACAGACCAAAACAAAAACAAAGTCACTTAAGATAATGAGGGTACAACAAAAAGTATTGCTAACAAAACCATAAAACCTTTCTTAAACAAAGTATCAAAATGTGACCCTACTGGTTTTCAATATATCCTCCATCTGTCTATATACTTCAGAAGATGGTGTTTCCATCTAACTTTCCCCTGAATAATTCTAAGCTCTTCTATTTATACCACATCAAAAGTCAGTTATGGCATCCTGAAGGGATTCAACTCCTGTTTCCTTTTCAATGTTCTTTGAGTCTGGGGAACAAAATATGTCTGAAAAGAGCAAGATCAGGACTGGTGGGTGAATGTAGGGCAGCCCTTGTTAATCTCAAAGAATATGCAGGTACACTGTTGTCAGAAAAAAAATTCCTTGGTAAAACTTTCCTGGCCTTTTTTCTTACCAATGCATGTTTCCATTTTCTTAAAACTTCTTCCTAGTAAGTCCCCAGGACCATTTTATGTCCTTCAAGAAAATCTATCAAGATTACCCCTTTGAAATCCTAAAAAACAGTTACTTGAGGAACACAAACAGCTGACATAACCTTCTGAGCTGATTTCTCTGTCTTGAATCTAACTGGCTCAGCTGATTCCTATAGAAGCCACTGTTCTGATTGGATCTTTGTTTTGAAGGTACCCAACACAAGTAAGATACACATTATTACTGAGAGAACTGCCTGCAGCCATTCATTGATCACAGAGACATATTAAAATACATTTCAATTGGAAGAAACTGGTGCATATATGAATTAGACCCTAGTAGCAATACTTACACTTACATATTATAGCACAATGTGCCTGCTTCTAGCTAAACACAATGAAAATCAAAGTATCCCCAAGAATTATTAACTCAAAGAGGGATAACCATAACCAGTCTGTCATTCTGTGGTAGCCTGTATGTTTCTGGGATGCTGAGAGCTATGCCATCAGTGTTGCAAATAAAGCAGAGTCATCCATCCACGGTAGACAGGTTTCAGCAGAGCTTTTAAACTAGAAAGTCTAAAAAGAAAGGCCTCGTGATGGACTTCCAAAAATTAGTTAATGAAAAATTATGGATCACAACAGAATATTGGCCAATACAGTGCTAAAAGATGAGCTCTCTATATTGGAAAGGTCTACAAAATTGCCTCAACGATAGTTTCAAACACACCACCTTATCATGAAGATGATGCAGGCCTAACATTTCTATTTGTTATATACAAGGTCACCACGAATTAGAGCCTACTCAACAGCAACTAAGAAGCTCTGGTAGCATAGTGGTTACGAATCGGGCTGCGAACCGCAAGGTCAACAGTTCGAAACTACCATCTGTTCCGCGGAAGAAAAATGAGGCTTTCTGCTCCCGTAAAGATTTACAGCCTCGGAAACCCTGTACAGGGTCGCTATGAGTCAGAATCAACTCCATGGCATATAACCAACCAACAGCAACTAACAACACATAATAAGTAAACACTGGGAAACTTTCCATTTAAAAATATGGTGATTAAGAACAAAAAGACAAACACCCAATCAAAAAAATTGACACAAGGACCTGAATAGACATGTCAAAGAGGATATTCAAATAGCCAATAAACACATAAAAAGATACTTACAGGCATTAGCCATTCCTACCCACTGCCATTTGGGGAATCATCTCAACCATGAAGGACAGAGTAGAATTGTCCCATAGTTTCTAGGCTGTTATCTTTACAGAAGCAGACTGCCTATCAGTCTCCCAAAGAGATACAAATCCAAACTACAATGAGATACCACTTTACCGCCTATTAGAATGGCAATGATAAAAAATAACAGATGTTGGCAAGGTTGTGGAGAAACCAGAACTCTCATTCACTGCATGCAAAACATCACCAACACTGTGGAAAACATTTTAGTGGTTTCTCAAAAATGTCAGTCCCAAAAGAACAAATACTATACAATCTCACTTATATATAATCAGCAAACATACAGAAACCACAGATTATTACTGATACCAGGAGTGGGAGGGCATTGAGTTTATGTTAATGGTGATAGAATGATTTGGCAAAGGACCGTGAGAATAGTTGCACAATTTGAAGAATATAATCAAGGTCACTGAATTGTATATGCAGAAATTGTTGAGATCGTATATGTTTTGTTGAATGTATTTTTACGACACTAAAAAATATACAGTGAAATAAAAGCAAACACATGGTAAGAGGGGGAAAAAATTTGAGCTAAACATTAATTGAACACTATTTTCAGATGTCTAAATACCTGAAAGGGAAGAGATACAGAGGTCTTGAAACACTGTGCTTCATAAAATAATTTAACATTAAAATTGACAGCCCTTACAAATACAAAACAAATGACTGAAAAAATAAATGCAAGAGACAGACAAATCTCCATGCAGAATCCCAAATAATTTATGTAGATATTTCATCCGCAAAGAGGTTGTAACTTTCCACTCTTAAAGTGTGGGTTGCACAGTGTCTTACTTCCAAAAGGTACAGCTGGATAGAGAGGAAAAGGATTAATTTTACATCTCAGCCAGGTGATCAAGGTTAGTATTAATAGTGGTAAAAGTCAAGTTTTAGATTCTAACCCCTTGATGTAATGTGATGAGAATGCTAGTTTACCTCTGGGATCTTCCTCCTCCAATCACATAATCCCAGTCTGATTATGAGAAAACCAAATCTCAATTGATAAAACATTCTACAAAATCCCCAACCAGTCCTCCTCAAAACAAAACTGTCAAGGTCAACAAAGTCCAAGAAACTGTTACAACAACTAAGAGAAGGCAGAAGAGAAATGGCTACTAAATGTAATGATGTAATGTGGTATACTAGACAGGAATCTAAAACAGAAAAAAGAAGAAAGCTAAAGGAATCTGAATGAAGTATGAACTTTATTAATAATCTTACATTAATAATGGTTCATAAACTGTAACAAATGTACTATACCAATGTTCAGATGTTAGTAAAAGGGGAAAGTGGATGCACAGTATATGGTAACTCGGTGGTATGTGCAACTGTTCTGTAAACCTAGAGTAGTTTTAAAATAAAATAAAAAATTGGAAGCAATGAAAAAGCAGCTTTTACAAAAGTTATCTTTTAAAGTTCAAAAACAGGTAATTATTTCTAGGTAAACTGATAACCTTGAGAGTATAGACCAATGAGGGTGCAGCAAAGATGGGAAATAAAAAACTACAGTACTAGGGGGCTTCAAATAGTTTGTGAAAAAAGGGAATTAAAAAAAAACGGCATTTTTTTCACAAACTTTTGAACCCCCCACATACAATCAAAAGCAAATTTAAGAACCTTATTGTATTTTCGCAATAAAACTACCAACAATAAAAACATTTTCACAAACTTAATTGATGTTTCTTTTGAAATGTCAAAGCAAACTCAAAAAGCTTATCACGTTTTTGGCTCAAAAATATTTACCAGTGTTTAGTTTCTAAGGAATGCTACAATTAATAGAAAGTCACAAATATGATATTAAAATAGAAACTTAAAAATTCCCTCAAGCAAAACTTTTAGAGTGGGACATGGAAGAATACTTTATCTTCAAAGACTGGAGGTTGGCATCATTTGGCTACTACAAATATTTAGCCAAACTAAATATTTGAAATACTAAGTTTTTTACAGTTGAGTATTATAAGTATATACAGTTAACTATAAAACTATCTAATATTAAGTATTACACAGTTAGCTATAAAGCTAACTATTTAAAGGAAGCAAAAGTTGAAAAATAGAAATGTCACAAAAATTGCAAAATAGAACTCTGTCTCACACACCTTACAAAAAGTAAATACCACATGGATTATATGATTTAATTGTTAAAAAGGAAAAGAACATAAATATGAGTGGGCTTCAAAAAGTTAATAGAAAATGGAATTTTTCCACAAACTTTTTGAAGCCCATTTCTGTGCAATGAATTACTTCATACGGTTCTTCTATCCAGTTTTGGTAACTCCCATTTTTTCCCTGCTAAACATGGATACAAGAAGTGGGGGAAGATGCTGAAAAAATTACATGGCTCAGTTGGAAGTGACTGTTAACAGGATTAACTGTAATTGTAAACACTTAGAACGCAGCATGAGTATAAAAAGAGCCATTTCAGGAGGACTGGGGGATCTTACTTCCAACAAGATAGAAGAGCCTCGAATGGAATTTATCCTTTGAGCCCTGAGAGATCCCTTCTTCTTGTTGTTAGGTGCCTTTCAAGTTGGTTCTGACCCACAGCAAACCTAGGTACAACAGAAGAAAACACTGGCCTGTTCCTACACTAATCCTCACAATTGTTGTAAACCTTCACTGAATCGGTTGTTTCGACTTAGAGAGACCCAGTATAGAGTGTGTTTCCAAAGAGGGGCTGGTGGGTTTGAATCACTGACCTTGTGGTTAGCAGCCCAGTGCTTATATTCTACAGTGCTACACCAGGACTTCTAACCACTTCTGCTGTTGTTATGTGCCTTCGAATCAGTTTCAATTCACAGCAACCCTGTACAGGGTTTCTGAGGCCTTTAAAATCTTTGTGGGAGCAGAAAGTTTTATCCTTTTCCCGTGGGGCATCTGGTGAGCTGGAAACCTCGTACACTGTGGTTCACAGTCCAGTGATTATCATATCAAGCCATCTGGTGATGCAGGGTAAGTGCTCAAATGCTAACTGTAAGGTCAGTGGTTCAAACCCACCAGTCATTCCGTGAAAGAAACAAGGCAATCTGCTTCAGTAAAGGTTTACAGTCTTGAAACCCCTAAGGAACAGTTCTACTCTGTCCTAAGGAGTCACTATGAGTCAGAACTGACTCAGTGGCAACAAGTTTAATTACTCATGATGTTTTTTAAATAGCTTTGAGTTAGTCACCAAGAAAAATATTATCAGCTGCCATCATTAAAAACTAAGAGATAACACTTAAACATACTGATTTTAGGTTCTCTTGGGAAAAAATGTAAAGACTTGAAAATACAAGGCCCCTATTTCTATGTGACAGCAATTCACAGAATTGGCTGTTCCTTTTTAAAGGGGCTGCTTACCACAAGGCTGATGGTTCAAACCCACCAGCTGTTCCTTGGCAACTTTATATAGGGTTGCTATCAGTCAGAACAGACTTGATGGCACACCACAATATACTTCAACCTATCAGAGTACAACCCACCTTACAAAGACATGTCTATTTCACTTTGTTAGCTGCTGATTTCCACAAACATTTGACTTTGAGCCCCATTCCATAAAGGAAACAGTTACTAACTCGATTAAAATGTCTAGAAGAGAAAAACTCAAACCATAGCCAACCAGGAGATGATATACACACAAACCAGAGCAAAGAGACCTGTAGCAATTATTGAATGTAATTAACTTTAAAACTAAGACTAGAATATATATGAGGATTAAGATGAAAGAATACACTATGTTATATTTCTACATTATCAGAATATATAACTAACAAAAACTGGATGTGGCAGGAGAGAAAAAAGACGAGAAGTAGGGCAAGTTAACTGATAGCAAGAAGACATAAAATATTACCTTAGTAAAACAGAAGCAGAAACTAATGTTGTTAAGTACCTACAAGCTGGTTCCAACACATGGCTACTCTGTGCAAGGGTTTCCGAGGCTGTAAATCTTTGCAGAATAAACAAGTCTCATTTTTCTCCCTCAGAGCAGCTGGTGGGCCCAAACTGCCGACCTTGAATTCAAAGCCTCGTATGGAGCCACTGTACTTTCAAAACTGTCATTAAAGGACAGCAAATGTTATTACCTGTAAGATTACCATGATATAGTTGTGACTGTCCATCCAGAGTAGCCAGTGCATTTTATTTGGATTGAGACAGGAATTTACATACTTTAAAATCACACTGTACCATAAGCTGCCTCACATTAAAGCAGCCCTAGTAAGGCTATAAAATTAACAATGGACTGCTAATCACAGGCTGGAAGTTCAAACCCACCAGCAGCTCCCAAGGAGAAAGATGAGGCTATCTGCTCCAAGAGATTTACAGCCACAGAAACCCGATATAGGGTAACTGAGAGTCACAACTGACGCAATGCAATGGCAATGGGTTTGGGTTTTCTGGTTTAGACAAAATCTTTTGAGAAGAAAACTGACAGCTCAACAAGCCAATAAACTCCAAGAAGCACATCTGAAATCAAAGATATAAGAAACCAGAAATTAGAGTATGAACTAAAATCTTTCATTATAGTGCAAATAGCAGGAAATCAATAGCTACTATGAAGATAGTGACTAGAGTAGATTTCATTTTTCTTAAAGAAAGGATTAAGCAAGATAGTCTATTACAACAAAGTACAGATAATAAAAAGCTTAAATTAAGTTCCCAGCAATACACTGCAGTGTAGTTGTTAAATACCTGCCAGTATACTGTGCTCACAGTGATTGCATATAGGGTGTTTGAGGAGCAACTGGTGGTTTTGAACCACCAGCCTCGTGATTAGCAGTCCAGTGCTCATCCTACAGGGCCATACCAGGACTTCTAGTAGCTGTCAAGTCAAATTTCAGCTCATGGAGAGACTTCATATGTATAGGATTTTCAAGGCTGTGACCTTTAGGAAGGAGAGACCTAGCTTCTAGGGTTCCCATTTCTAGCATGGATTCAAACTATCAACCTTTCTGCAACTAGTCAAGTGCTTAACCATTTGTACACCCAGTGACACAGTAATACAACTGCAGCCACACAATGAATAAGAAAAGTGTTCTGCTGTTACTCTACAGCATATAACAACAACATTACAGACCAAAATAAGTAAAATACTACGCTTCATAAATTTAAGACAACTTCAGACCTGGAAAAGTTTCCTTTAGCATAGAGAAGATCTAGACAGTATTTTAGTTAAAACGGATAATTATGGATGAGGAGAGAAAAATTGAAGCTGAAGATATGTTCTGAAAGAAATGAAATGAAGAGTGGAAAAGAGGAGAAAAAGATAAGGGGTAAGGAGAGACAAGGGAAAAATGAAGGAACAGAAGGACAGTATAGAAGATGGGGAGAAATGATGAGCAAGAGGAGAAAAGGAAGAGGGCGGTGGGGCAGGAACTGGTATGATAATCTTTTAGAGCACTATTACCTTCTTGAAGACCAGGATGTATCACCTGTCTGTGACGTAAGGACTTCAAATCTTCTATCAATTCCTTTTCTAACTGGGAAATTCTTGCTCTGCAACCTGCTCAGAAAACAAAAATGATGACCAAATAAACTATTATATACTAAGAATGAACTTTGTCATCTTTCACTCCTAGAGCCCAAACCTCAAACATATTATTTCTCCTCCTTATGCTATTATGTAATACCTGAATCATTTGTAGTTGAGGCCTGAAGACTAGAAGGTTCTTCTGCTGTCCCATCAACTGCATGAATGTCTAGAGCTTCCTATATTTAAAGGAGAAAAAAAAAAAAAAAGTATACTTCATATCACTTCTAAAAGTGATACTAATTTAAGTTTAACATTTCAGTTTAAAAGTAAACTAGAATTTTAAAAGAAAAATTCAAAATCAGGAGAAATACCATCATTTTTAAAAATAATAACTCCAGTTTCACAGGAGTAATTTTGTTCTTGTTCATACTTTTCGGTATTTTCTAAATGTTTTACATTAATAATCAGAAGGAAAAGAAAACAAAAAAAGGAAAAGAAAAAAAAAGTCGCATACTCTTAGTAATTAACACAAAACTATTTTTAAACCAATTAATATACTGATTTCTCAGAGTCTATATAAGATAATTTACTCAACAACTAACAAAGATGTAAGAAAAAAAACAGGTAGAATGAATTCAACATCCATCTAACCAAATCTGAGATACAGATAAAAAGGGTTCTATAAAAATGTAATTTAAAAATCCAACTGAAAATCAGAATAAACAGTATAATAAAACCATTAATATGTGCTTCTCCAATAGTACTATACAAGCATTGACAAAAAAACAAAAAAAAACAAGACCTTGGGGATGTGTTATCCACAAAGAGTTTTGATGAAAATTCCATTAAGACCTAAACACTAAAAAATCCCAACTAAGCACAACACAACATTCATGAACTGAGATCTAAACAGACCTAATTTTTTAAGTCTATACAAATAAAAATCTAAATTATTTTGTGCTATGGGATTTATGACTAAACCAAAATATCCAACCCATCCCCGTATATGCATGTACAAACACACAAAAGCATTCACAAAAACAAAATTCTGTGTTAGTGATCAGTCTGTATATAATTTAAAAATGACTAATTAGCATTCATATGAAGAATGCTGAAAGCTATAATCTTACCTTCGATTCAAAGGAAACAAACAGAACACCATCCACATCTTCCAGATCAGGTTTCACATCTGTAAAGGTACTCCCAGGGACCATAGTTGTAGTCTTTGTAGAAGTTAAACACTTTCCAGTGTTTTTAGGTGGTCGTCCTGCCTTAGTCAGTTTCAATTTCCGTGGTCTCCCTCTTTTCCCAGTGACATTTGGAGAGGTATTCTGAGTAGTATCCACAGCCTTTGTGGCTGTTGCAATCTTAAGCATAGCTGTTTTCTTTCTGCCCAAGTCCTCTTTTCCAGAAAATGATTCCCCAGATGAATTCTTTGAATTATTGTCATACGTTCTTTCTGTGCTAATGCTGTCAGGTGTATCAGGATATTTCCATTGAGGCTCTTTAAATAAGGGGTATTTTTGTATCACTCTGAAATCTGGCGAATATTTTCTGAGATCATTTTCTGATTCCTTGCCTAAGCAGAAGTCAGTGCCATTGGAGTTTTCAATGTATGTAGGCAAATAGTCTAAGTCTGCCAACATGGAAGACTTATCCTTCCGAGATGTAGAAAGCATGGTATCAGGCAGCTCAGAAATCTTTACTGTGCTTTTGGTGACTGCACAAGGCTCCAGATAGACTACTGGCATTTTCCCAGTATCTAATTTGAACATTTTAGCTTTAGCAACACCTGAAGGACTGCTTGGTGGCCATTTAGAAGATGAAAGGTCAGTTTCAAAATTATCAACTTTACTGTGCCTCTTTAGCTGTTTCTCTAATATGGGATCATCATCACTGTTTGAGTATACATCCGTTTCCTCATCTGTCTCTTCTTGTTTCACTGTGACACCTTCTGGGCATTCACCAAGTTCATAGTTATAATCATCTAGAGGTTCCTCTTTAATGACAACATTGAAAGGTCCATTTGGGTCTAGTGGTGAGGCTACCTGGGAGCTGTCTTCAAAATTGTTGGCAACAAGACTGGAGAAATAAGAGTGACAAAAAGTATAAAACTATTGATAAAAAAGTAAAAGGTGTTAGAAACCAAGTGACTCATAAGGTCTATTGACCCATTTCTCAAAAATTCATAAATTATCATACTTTTATATATTTCTTCTCAATTGTGCACAAAAATTATGTAAATTTGAACTCTACTGTTTCAACACATGACCCTTATCATCAAACTTAAAAACTGGGTATCTCATTTCCCTATGGTAAATTTCAAATAACCTCAATTTTGAAAGTCAAACAGCACTAACCCAATATTAAATCCTAGAAATCCAGTGATTAAAAACTGTCAATAAGTAAGAAAATAAATGTCCAACGTAATTAAGAATTGCAATAAATATCATAAAGGGCGTTTCTGACTATCCAATGACTTTTTGGAGGGAGGGATAAAATTCAAGTAACATAAAGCATTTCAGCAATTTTAAAGTATACAAATTAGTATTTTTCAATATATTCATTCACAGTGTTGTTGTCAGGTGATTTTTTATCTTAAAACTAAAAAATTCATTTAAGATGTAAAGACTCCACCATGACCTCCTCCAAAATAAAGAGGGAGGGTACAGGAATCCTGGTGTAGCGCCATAGGATAAGCACTCGACTACAAGGTCCAGTATGAACCGCAGGGTCAGCGAAACTCAGCAGTCGCTCCTTGGAATCATATGAGTCAGAATTGACTCCATGGCACTTAATAAGGGTAGCTAAAGGGAAGTATTCTTGTTGTGCTGTTGTTGAATTGGTTCAGATTCATAGTGACCCTGTCTATGGTTACTTATAGGGTTTCCAAGAGCAGCTTTGAACAGCAGGTTTGAACTCCCAACCTTGCAAATGGCATCTGAGTGTTTATCTTACAGCCCAATACCAGGGAATTATATGACACCTATATTTTAAGTGTGCACCACTCGTCTATCAGTCTGTCAGTTTGTCATACAGTGGTGGCTTCTGAGTTGCTGTGATTCTGACAGTTATGCCACTGGTATTTTAAATACCAGCAGGGTCACCCATGGTAGACAGGTTTCAGATGAGCTTCCAAACAAAGACAAATTAGGAAGAAAGAGTGATGAACTACTTGCGAATATTTAGTCACTGAAAACCTTATCAATAGCAGAGAAACACTGTCAGATATAGTGCCAGAAAATGAGCCCCTCAGGTTGGAAGGCACTCAAAATGCGACT